TACATGACATACGTGGTCACGGAGTGGATCATTTTCTGCCACAAGAGATGGCTGAATTTCTGCCCATGGGAGTGGCAAGGTCAGTCTTCTCATCACTTAGGGACCAGGTGTGGGATCAGATCTGACTTGGCATAAAAATGGAGGAGCCAGTGCTGTGGTATTGGTTTTGCTTTGCTGTTGTCCTCAGCTCCCTGGTCTGGAGCCACTGCTCCCTGTACAGCTACCCTCAGAAAGCTCATTAGCCATGAGTCCACGAGTTTGGACCAGCCTCCTGCACACAGATGAGAAGGTTGTGCATACCAAGTGGGCAGAAGGTCCATTCCTTCAAGAGTTAAGTCAACTTTGCAAATAATCTAAGTGGCAATTCAGGCTTCTATGAATCACGTCAATTTAATACAACAGCTTCACCAGCTTATTGTGATGCAGTTTCTATTTTGAGATGAGCAGATTTAGGGGAGCAGAGACAGGTTCTGGCAGGACAACAGAGAGTCCTACTTGGCCCGTGTTAGGTTTGAGATCTCTCTACCCATCCCCAAGTAAAGAAATCCAGTTGGCTGGACAGACTAGGGCTGCACAGAACTACAGACCTAAGTTTGGGATCGTCATATCACAGATAATGCAAGAAGCCAGGGCCTGGATGAGACACGAGGAGAGAACCAGTGCCTGTGGCTTTCAGATACGTAGAAATCAAGCTGAGGGAGGGTTGACAGATGGGAACTCTGAAGAGGCCTCCTTAGAGAAGTTGGTGTTTCAAGAAGGTAGGTGATCAGCATATGGTGTGGAGAGGACATGTGGTCCAAGTTCAGGAGAGTGACCATTAGATTTTGCAACCAGGAAGTTACCTATAAGGTTGACAATAGATACTGCAGTTGAACAGCGGAGACAAATTCCTGACTGCAGGGTGTGAAGAGAGACAGGTGGTGAGGTAACGGATAAATGGGGATAAAATAAGTTTTGCTATGAAAGGAAACAGAAATGGTGGGAGGGTGAGAAGAAATTTCTGTTGGTGTCAAAGATTTTTTGCAGCTTCCGTGAGATGGGAAACACCAGAGTGCATTTGTATGCTGATAGTAACAGGTCCGTGCAGGAATCCTAGTGATGTAACAGAGAGAAAGTCACAGCAGAAGCGGATCTTTCTTTCATTAATGAGAGGAAGTGGACCCAGAGCAAGGAAGAAACAGGTATTCTATCTACTATTAAATAAGAGACAGCAAGGTTCCTCCTTATTGCAGAGTAGATCGGAGGGAGTATGCCAGGATCTTTTGCTCACTGAAATAGGACTATGAGTGTGACTTTGTGTGTGCACACGTGCACACGTATGTGTAGACCGGTTGCTGGCACTTGGAAAGGGGAGAATTGTAAAATAGCTGTTTTGGAGAGTGAACATCCTTGGGAATAATTGTCTGTCAGTGTTGAGTGTTCCTTCAAGGCCTCTTGTGATGAATTTCGAGTGACATCAATCAGCAAAACAGGGAAGTGATATCAAAGTCAATAAAATACTCCCTGCCATCCAGAAACCTGGCGGAGGAGGCAGAGGAAAGGAAGCATTAGCAAGGAAGGATGCGAGTTCCTGACAACACATACTTGGTGCAGGGAGGTAGTGATCTTGGAGTTCTGAGGGGATGAGTGTGCGAGGAAGAAGGGTTGGTTTTGAACAGGAGGTTGGTGCAGACAATAGGCCAGCAGGTATGGTGAGGGCAGGAACACAGATCAAGAGAAAAGGAGACTTCAAGGGACATAGGTCTCAAAGATGGCAAAGAAAGCCTGTGGAGAGGAGGGAATTAGTCGAACAGAGAGGAAGGAGCTGCCACAGCACAAGTTAGAGGCAGTGCAATCTTGGGTGATGGAAAATTTTAAGAGGTGTCCATCAGTGGACTTCATGTAAAGGCCATTGGGCTTGAAGAAGCTCCTATGAGCACAGAAATAAATGCAGGTGATAGGAAAGGATGAACCTTATCCCTCAGTGGTCCTGTATGCAGAAATACTGCATAAAATACAACATCAGCGTAAGACAACACAAAAGAAGAAAGGAAAAATCTCCAGGTTCCAAAAATGAAGAGGAATAAAAACTAAATCCTGACTGGAAGCTGATGTTAGAGCTGATCTTGGAAAAGCAGCACCTTGGACCCAAGCTGTAGGACCACGGTTTGGGATTTGGGGTTGTTATACCCATACAAGGATAGCATGTGTGGCCTTGGAGTTGCCAGCGGTGGGAAAGCTGGAACCACACTAAGCTTGGAATCTTGAAGAGCTGCTTCACCCAAGAATGGAGACCAGAAACAAAGCACTCACCTGCTGGAGAAGTGGAAGGGAGGCCGAAACCCCTACCTGGGCCATATGCCAAGGTGGGGCCTCTCAGTTTCACCGCCCAAATGAGATGGGAACATCCAGGTAGCAAATTAACATGCAAGTGGACACCCTGAGCCATCGAGAGACAGTGCAAATCTTCCTAGACAGAAATTCTCACATGGGAACCCACACCTCCAGAATCATCAATCTTGCTAATGACAAATCAACAATTTAAAAAGCGAACTAAACAACCCTCATAAACTACACAAGAGAATAAACCTCCATGAGGGAGAAACCACAGATGCAATGAGCAGGAGGTAAAACTATGAGGCAAAGAGGATGGATAAAGAAGGTCCAACATGTGTCTATCAGAATATCATATAAGAATCCAAACAGCAATAGTAACATGAGTGAAGCTCTTGAGTTCTTACCATGTTCAAGTGTTTTATAGTTCAATAAACCTTTACAAAATCCAATGAGAGGGATACTGTGATTATCCGACTTGCAATAGAGGCAACAAAGATTGAAAGTGAGCCGATATTCAAAAAAATAATGGATGAAAATTTTGCAGAATTGAAGAAGGCCATTGGATTTAAGGAGCACATCGAGTACGGAAAAGGATAAGCTTAAAATTTCCTGATAGAAGGAAACAGTGCCCGGTGCTAAGAAGGTGCCAGAAATCAGAGTTTGGCCCTGTTGTTGCCATGGAGTCACAACGCTGATGTTGCAACTTTCTGTGGCTGCTTCCTCTGTGTGGGGCAGAAGCAGCTTCATCCTAAGCAGGCCACAGTGGAGGGTCTGACCTTCAGGCTTGGATTTGTACTGATGATAGCATTCGGTTGCCAAAGCTTAGGAGGCAAAGTGCAGGAGGTACGTGTGAAAGCCATGCTTGACCAGAGCCGGCCAGTCAGTTCAGCCCTATCCCGGCATCCTGCCTCTCTCTCCTGGAATTAATGGGAGTCTATGTCCCAAACAGGAAGATGGCACCAGACACCAGGTATCAGGCTAGTCACCTCCCAAACGAGCCCCAGAGTCTCATCGTTCACCAATGCCATGCCTACCTCTCCAGCTTCTCGGGGTACAACGTGCTTCACCACAAAGACACTTCCCAACCCATCATAGCTGGTTTCCAATGTAGCCTAAATAATTTATGGTGAAGGAAAGGGCTCATAGCACTGGGCTTCCTCTGGTTGGGTTACACCAATGATAGCCAGTATCAATTAAGGTTTGCACTTACTGGACACCATGATTCTTTCTATAGGAATGAATAAGACGCCAGATTATGCCACGTGATGAGCTTGGAAAGCGGGGAGGGAGGCCCGGGTATGTCAGATCTTCTCAATATCAAGAGACAGGCAGCCGAATCAACGCACCCCTACCACTGACTTTAATTCTCTAAGCCATTCTGGCCCCCTCTGCCATCGGTCACTGCACCTGCCCCAGGATACAGATGGTTCTTGGGAACCCCAAGACACTTGCTTTCTTTCTCTTCCTTCACTGGCTGCTAAAGCTACAGCGAGCTACCAGGGAAAAGACCGGGATGTCAGAGCTGTCAAATGCTTCATTAATCCAGCCTGTGCCAAAAAGGCAATGGGAAAAACACCAAGAACCGTAGTACCCATCAGGACTCTTCAAGCAATTTCTCAAAAGTTCCCATCAGCCCTTTGTTGTGTTTCTCTCCTGCATTTGCCCATCGTTTAACTAAACACGAACATTTCCAAGGCACAGTTGCAATTCAAGCAGTTCTTAAGAATATACTATTTGGTAAGCACAGGAGCCTGTGTTTGGGAAGAGCAACCAATTAAGGAAGTTCTTATTTCAAGAGCCCAAGACTCAGAGCCAGTGAATTAGAGATTTCCCCAAAGAAGCAACTAATCTTCAAGTGGCTCTGCAGAGGACATCTCTGCTGTGTAGCAAGAACACTCACAAATAAGCACTCCTTAATAGTTAATTATCTTTAATGGTGAGTGCTGTGAAATCTAAAATTTCAAACGCAATAGTACAGATTGGTTTCGGTCCACGCTGACTTAGGAGTGGCATCATACCACTCCTGCGAGGGATCGTGTCGCGGCTCTGTGTACAGTTCATTAAATTGCCACGCGGCTGGGGAAGCCAGTATTGGCAAGGTGCGGGGGAAGGGAGGACCATCGGCTGTAATTGCCCGATGGAGTGTTTGGTCAAGGACCTCTTTTTGATACCAAGATAGCAATGTTTGGACATAACCGGTATCAGATAGATTTTAAGTTACATTATGAAAGTATTCATTCCTTTACATGACCAATTCCAAATATATATAATAAGATATATATATATATATTTAAGATATATATATTTATAAGAAGATAAAAATTTGTTTTACTAGATCCCAAGAGGAAAGAGTAATTTCTCTACACTTGTTCATTTTCACAAATTCAGCAATTATGAAGTATCTGAAGCAGAAAATACATGTTTTCTGACAGTTTCTCTGTTTTTCTTATGCATGACTGTTTTTCTTGGGGAGACACCGAATTAGGATTTCAAAGGCAGCCAAACACAGAGTCGAATCTGCCAGTCGCCAACACCGACCAGCATTCCCTACCAGTGGGAGGAGCTACCCAGTGGTCTTCCGTGTGCAACACAACATTGGTGCAACCAACCCACACACCGGACACCGGTGCCGAGCCTGCACCAGAAACAAGACCAGCACCACCACCAGCCCCTCATGTACTCACCGACCCGGTTCCGGTTTGAAGAATTTTCAATCCAGAAGCTTTTTCCAGTTTGTCTTTGTTGTCCACTGTTAGAAAAAAAATTAAGAAGCACAGGGTTTAGCTGGGGGAAGGAATGGGCCTGAAGTCACAGCTGAGCATTTAGCGTTTTCCTCCACTGAAAACTTCAATTACATCCCAGGCTGGACTGTCTACTAGAACAGGTGCTCTGATGGACCAGTGTGGAGTTAGGAAGCCTGAGTTGGAGGCCCTGACTTGAGACCCTGCTTCCCATGAGAAGCCTGGTCCATGTCCGGTAGGCACTACCGTGTACCTTTGCCCTCATCTGTGAAATGATGTCAGACTGGGAAATTCACAGAATGGCTGTGAAGACTTGATGAGACATTGTGTACAGAACAGCTTTCAAATGGCAAAGTCTTATGTTAAAAGGATATATTGGTTGTTAATTATATAATCATCGGGAAATATGTTTTATCGAGTAGCATTATTTAAAACAGCTCCCTTGAAGGCGCAGCTGAATGTGTGTATTTATGTTATTAAAGCTGACAGCTATTTCTTCCTTTATTCAAGTCTCTCCAAGAAACATTCTATAATAATTTAGCACCAATAAAAGCCTAATCCATTCTAGTGTGCTCCTGGCTTAGAACGAGGAAGACTTTCAGAGAATGAATTACACTCAGTATCAGACCCGGAGAAATGAGCTTTGGAAACAATTAGCAGATGTAAATGAAAACTCAGCCACTCCAATGCCCACAACGGCGAGCCCACCTGCCCCCACTTCACAGAGAGGGAGTGTGTCACAAGGCAATTGACCTTGGCTTACGATTCTGCAGAAATATTCTTTTGGATAAAGCCCCTGTCACTTTGGAAATGAAAACCAGGAAAAACAGAATTTTATTGCAAACCCTATGAATAAAGAGTGCTTTGCAATTGTGATTAATACAGAACAAGATAGCAAGAAAATAGCAATTACTTTCACCTCTTATTGTAATACCCCTGCATTAATCCCGAGTAATGAAATTATATCTTTTACGGGATACAAATGAGATCTTGTTATAGGCTGCTCTCCCATCTTTAGGGCATTTTCATTGTCTTATAGGGAGTTTTTTTTTTCTTTGAACAAATGAATGTTTTTTTTTTTTACATACAGGTAATCATTCACTGTACTGAAAGAATGAAGCAGACGTAAAATAATCTGGGTTAGATCAAAAGTACTTTAAATTACTTTAGGATAGGGTACGGATGTAGGAGGAGGGTGGACGGTGAGCTGCACATGTAAACTTCGAACAGCAAGAGAATACTTTCAACTGTGTAAGGATTTATTTATTTATTATTTAAAAGGTAGAGAGAGTGAGCGAGAGCGAGAGGGCTACCTTCCATCTGCTGGTTCACTCCCTAAAGGAGTGAACTGCACCTAAACAGCTGGTACTGGGCCACGCTGAAGCCAGGAGCCCAGAACTGTAGCTGGCAGGGGCCCAAGTAATTGGGCCACCTTCTGGCTTTCCAGGCACATTCGCAGGGAGCTGGGTCAGAAGTGAGGTGGCCTGGACTCAAACCAGCACCCCGACATGGGATGTGGGAGCAGTAAGTGGCAGCTCAACCCACTGTGCCACAATGTCAGCCCCGGGAGAGTATCTTTTAAAGACACGGAGTACAAAATAATCAATTTTAATGTTCTGCGAGGAACAAAGGAAATATGTTAGTTCATGACAAACTATTTGGGGGTGGGATAACACCTAGTGAACTCCTTTAAACAGACGGAGAAACAGGAAGTGCATCAACAAAGGAGTTTAAAAAACACTTCAGTCATCACTAACCAGCAAAAGCATATGTCTGTAGCCTGACCATTAATGATGGAGAGTAATCCAGTCCAGGGGTGAGCAAAATGTCCTATAGGGCCAGAAAGTATTTTAGGCTTGGCAGGCAACGGTCTCTGGTGCAGCAACTCTGTCCTGCCGTGCGGTGTACAGAGCGGATGGATGGGGCCGTGTTCCAATAAAACTTTATTGATACATGCAGACGATGCCTTCTAACAAGCCCGAGATAGCACTACATTAACCAGCCTCTGAACAATTGCCTTTAGTCTCTGGAAGACTGTAAGAAGCTCTTTGTCAGAGTGTCGTGTCACCAACACCAATGGTGTGATGGATGCTGTCATCGTGGGACACCCAGGAGTGGCCTCTGCGTGCGACTGTGCTTCAGGGAGTCTTTAATCCACCTGCTGTTAGAATCACCCCCGGAGATGTGTGTGTCGGCGTGATTCTGTGTGCATAAGAGCGAGCTTGCTCAACCTACAGAACAATTCTGAGCAACCGCTAAGTGCTGGTGAGGGTTTGACTGGCTGTGTCGTTGCCCTTTGATTGGTGCCCAGAGCCACAGCACACGCATGGCCCCTGTGTGCTCGCAATGCTATCTGCCTCCCACGCCGACTGCACGGGCCCCCGGCACACGCATCTTCGTTTCATGGGCTCTGGAGTTGTGAGGGTTCTTCCAGTGGCCCCGGCCAGCGTGCCTCTGGGTACTGCTTGACAAGCTTCTCAAAACTGCCTTGAGCCAGCGCCGCGGCTCACTAGGCTAATCCTCCACCTTGCGGCGCCGGCACACCAGGTTCTAGTCCCGGTCAGGGCGCCAGATTCTGTCCCGGTTGCCCCTCTTCCAGGCCAGCTCTCTGCTGTGGCCAGGGAGTGCAGTGGAGGATGGCCCAAGTGCTGGGCCCTGCACCCCATGGGAGACCAGGAGAAGCACCTGGCTCCTGCCTTCGGATCAGCGCGGTGCGCTGGCCGCAGCGTGCTGACCTGTCTCTCTCTCTTACTGTCCACTCTGCCTGTCAAAAAAAAAAAAAAAGAAAAAGAAAAAAGAAAAAAAATTGCCTTGACCTTTTCTCCGTTCCGTCTGGCCCATTCAAAGCCATCAGCAAGCGAGGCAAGCGACCTGAGCCATGTAAATTAGTGTATTGTTTTCAGAGTATAAAGGCCTTTAATAGAGTAACGAACTGCTTTGTCCCTGAAATAATCCAAGAACCCAAGACACAAGTTTAAGTCCAAATCTAAATAATGAATATTTAAATGTAAGGTTGCCTGCTGTTAATATCTGCTACCTGCCAGTCACCGATGCAGTCACTGTTTGTACGTTAGCTTATTTCCTGCTTAAACCCACCTAGACTGTACATTCTAGACCTCCATTCAAGAAATGGGGAACAAAGTGATGTCACTGCTCAGTCAGAGGCGGATCTGTCTCTAAGTCCTGGATCTGAGCCGCTGTGATCTGGGCCCGTCTGTCACCAAGGCCAGGAACTATGATGAGTGATGCTCATAGCCACAGATTCTGCTTAGGGATGTGTTTCTCTGCTGGGTGCTTCTGCCCTGGGGACCCAGCGAGTTCTGGGAATCTTGTCTGGATGAGCAAGGGTGGGGGGAAAATGGCAAGAATCCATTTTAAAGGTTTGTTCCTGAGACCAGAATGAAGCACTCTAGGGAATCATACGCCAAAATACAAAAAGAAGTGGGTAGGTGGGGTAGGGGCTGAGTAGAGATCAAAAGACACACTTCCCAGGAAGTCCTGGACTGACAGTAGAGTCCTGTGGAGGTCTGATAAAGCCACCAGGTAGAGTGTGATGGATCCACCAGGAGGAGGTGGGATGGAGGCAACAGGAAGAGGATGGAGCCACCAGGTAGAGGTGGGATGGAGCCATCAGGAGGAGGATTATGGAAACACCGGGTAGAAGTGGGATGGATCCATCAGGAGGAGGATTATGGAAACACCAGGTAGAAGTGGGATGGATCCATCAGGAGGAGGATTATGGAAACATCAGGTAGAGGTGGGATGGAGCCACCAGGAGGAGGATTATGGAAACACCAGGTAGAGGTGGGATGGAGCCACCAGGAGGAGGATTATGGAAACACCAGGTAGAAGTGGGATGGAGCCACCAGGAGGAGGATTATGGAAACACCAGGTAGAGGTGACTTAGTTCTAGGTTATTCAAATGATTAAATCTTCCTGTTCCCATGGCATCACTGTGCCTCTCACCAGCTTGCCCTCAGAGCAGCAGGACCTGGTTCTCTCTGTTCTTCTACCCAACAGGAAGGGCACCTGATGTCCCCTGGCTTCTCCTCGTCTTCAGAACAGACTGTCTGCTCCTTGCTCTGACCCCAGAACAGGGAGTTTGTTTAGCTCCCCCAAACTTGGGGCCTTTGTGAAAACGCTCCTCCTGGCCCCATCCAGAAAGTCCAGAACCAGGGTATAGTAAACCGCATGTGTTAAAAAGTTTGCTCCCTTGTCTTACCAGGAGCTACCTGCTAGGATTAGTCAGACTTCAGTATCATGCTCTCCACCCCTTCCTCTCCTGTGTTCATTCATTCCTCCACCCATTCAGGCATCCCATGTACTAGGCGCCAGGCCAGCCAGATCCGTGCTGTCTCTGAGCTGAGCTTCGGGGGGAGAGGGCTGAGAAGACACCATGTCTGTCTGCGACAGGGTTGGGAGTGGAAGAGCAGGTGGGGGATGGAAGGCGGCAGGAGTGGGGGGCGTGTCCTGGACGTGTGCTCTTTCCTAAGCCCATGGACCTTCTGAAAGACGCTTGACCACACTTGAGTGTCCCACTCCTGGTGCAGCCCCCAGAGTGGCAGCAAAGGATCAGGATCTGGACTCCACTTTCTGTGGGAAAAACCTAGGTGTGCATCCCCTGTTCTGCAGGTGTGACAGACCAGCCACCTGCTTTGCAGCTGTGCTGAACAGTCTGAGCGGCTGGGGTAGCACGTCGAGGCCTTTGCCCTGTGGAATGGCACCACGTCTTCACCTAGACTCCTCTTCAACCTCAAGATGACATCTGTGCCGGTTACGATCCACACTGCAGTGTTCAGTTCATGCTAGGGTCCCGGCTGTTCTTCACCCAGACTGCAGGGTGAGAGCTACCTCACCCACGAGGAAGATTCTTAAATTTCTATTTAAGTAACCCCCCCCCCCACACACACACACAGACAGACACAGACAAAATAGACCCAGGAACAGAGGCAGGGATGACTAAGCTATCTTTCCAAGTTAGATTAACCCACAAAATTTTTTAATAATT